CCTGTATCGTCGTCTTGAACTTAATCCATACGGTCTCTACATCTACCATTTCGCAGTCATTACACAGGCTACCAGATAGAGATGACAGTTCCTGGTTGATACTATCCCAGTTTGCCTTGGTAAACTTGTAGATTTTTCTACAGACATGGTTGGTTCTGTATCAAAATCCGTAACAATCATTGGTTCATTGGTTCATTGATTGCGACACCGTTGTAAGCGTCAGTCGCTTCTTGACGTGCTTCTTAATTCTGTCTACTTCACTGGAGTGGTCTGATATACCTGGTATGGATGTCGAACTCTTTACTAGGGAGGGGTTGTTTGTAAAAACTAAGTCCATGATGTTATTGTCCATAGTAGGTGTTTCATGAACCTGGGTAAGGTAGAAATCTGAAGCCAACTTGGTGAGATTAAGCTGGATTTCCTTGTCTGGTGATAGATCATTAACTGTAACACTTTCCCTGTTTACTTTGGGGCAGTTGAAATTCCCGGAAAGAAGTATGTGTTTCGGTCCTCCTTCGTGGATTTTTGCGAGCGATTTCGACAAGTTTAGAATGTCTTTGTGGTTTCGATGTGGCATATAAATGCACCCTATTAGTAGGGCTTTATTTCCCCTCGTCTGAATTCTAGTCCACTCTAGCTCACATTCTGTGACGAATTTGACCGACTCCGATGATGTGATGGAGTTATGCACACTACTCCGCCCCCTTTTTGGTGTTGCTATTTCTATTGTGAACTCGGGTGGGAAAAGTTCACTATTCTGAATAGGTACATGTCCTTTGAAGATTACAAAGGAGTGATAGCCGTCCTCAAAGCCAGTCTAATGCATCGTTACGCGACCGTGAGATTCTTTTGATGTTTATCAAAGGATCAAACTTGTCGTTTCGTCTCATTCACAAGGTTGTGCACGCCGATCCTTGAATTGTGCCACAGCATATTCCAGGGGTGCAGAGAGCGTTAGTGAGCGTAACCCCTGGAGTAGCGAGGATGGGAGTGCGCCTGTGGAGGAGAATTCAGTGTACTGTCAGAAATAACTTATTCTGAGTCTATTCTTGACATTTTCCTCTAAGCTGGCGGTGTAAAAGATGTCTATGGAAACTGATTTACCTGACTTCAAGATTCTTGAGAACTCTTGTAAAAATATTCAAGCACAGTTTGGCCTGTTTACAAAGAAAAGATATGCCACAGTAATTATTGCAATATTTTGCCATTATGTACCTACTGTATTAAAATATATTATCAAAGGAATTTAATGATGAGTTTTTACATTTTATCAAAATATTTGCAAATAAGATTATATTTTGTCGCGTAGGGTTGTCTAGACATGCTAGTGGTAAAAATGATCCAGATCAAGTATTGTCAGCTTGATGTGTCGCTTCCCGTTCCGGAGTAGGTTTTCAATCGCTCCAAAATATTCTCATTAAATATTATATTGCGCTAAAAAGATTTCCCTCGCAAACTTCGTTGGCTCCATCTGTTGAAACTACCAGCAAAATATTATTATAAGATTCTATGCTTTTTGATACTTCTTCAGAAGTTTCTTGGCATATTTTTTCCTGTGACCTTGTAAGAGTAGGTCAATTTCATTTTCCTTCTCAAATTGGTTAGCTCTATTCCAAAAAGCTACAAGCCAAATCTTATGAATCCATTTCTTTTAGTTCTTAAGAACAAATCCTTTAAAATGTTGTTGCCCTTTGTGACCTCAAAAAGTAGGTTGAGGTCATTTTCATTCGTAAACTTTGGTGAGCTCTATCCCAGGAAGTCACCAGCCAAATATTATAATTTTATGCCTTTTAATTCTTCTTCAGAAGTAGCTTGAACCGTTTGACATATTTGAACGCTGTGACCTTGAAAGTAAGTCAAGGTCATTTTCAATCTCAAACTTTGTTGGGCTCTTTCCCAGGAAATAACCAGCCAAATATTAAGGTTCTATATCTTCCAGTTCTTCAGAAGAAGTTGTTCTAAGTGTTAAACATATCCAACTCCTGTGACCTTGAAAGTAGGTCAAGGTCATTTTCTTTAGTAAACTTTGTTGGGCTCTTTCCCAGGAAGTAACCAGCCAAATATTAAGGTTCTATACCTTCCAGTTCTTCACAAGAACTTGTTTGAAGTGTTTGACATATCTGCCTAATGTGACCTTAAAAGAAGGTCAAGGTCATTTTCATTCCCAAACTTTGTTTGGCTCTTTCCCAGGAAGCTACAAGCCAAATATAAAGATTCCAAAACTTTCAGTTCTTCAGAAGTCGTTTTAAGCATTAGACATATCTGACCCCTGTGACCTTGGAAGTAGGTCAAGGTCATTTTCCTTCTCAAACTTTGTTGGGCTCCACCCCAGGAAGCCATCAGCCAAATATTAAGATTCTATACCTTTTAATTCTTCTTCAGAAGTCTAAAGTTTTTGACATATTTGACCCCTGTGACCTTGAAAGTAGGTCAAGGTCATTTTAGTTCTCAAACTTTGTTGGGCTCCTACCAACAAAGCTTTCAGCCAAATATCATGACTCTAGGCATGTCCGTTCTTCAGAAGAAGTTGTTTAAAGGAAAAGTTGACGGACGTACGGATGCCGCACAATGACATAAGCTCACTTGCCCTTTGGGCAGGTGAGCTAAAAAATTAATTAACAGAATATGTAACAGTGTCTTCAGTAATACCAGATATATTTCAATCGTGTGGCTAATATTTAATTGCCACACTCGTGAAAAATATTTGGTTTTACTGACGACACTGTTAGAAATCCTCTATATATTGATTTTTTTTTAGAAGAAGGTTATTGAAGTGAGGTCGCCAGGTAATAAAGTCAGTGATGTAACTTAGCGCCGAAAAGTAGTTGTTAACAACACAAAATCCTTTATACATTGTAGAAGCACAAGAGGCGTCGATCATAGTCACTAACCAGGTTTACACTGTAGAGACCCCAAGTAGAATAAGGTTGATCATGGAATAGTGTTAGCCCGGAATAACTCTTGCGTCTAGCTGTATGCTAATATAACTGAAAGCTAGATCATCACTGAGAAGTTTATAAAACACCCAATTGTAATAATGCCACTTTTAAAACCGGACAGTTAAATTTATTTACCTGATCAATAAGTACCTATTGGAGGCCAGACGAAGGATACCATCCAGAAATGTCAGCAGATCTGGCCAGGTGAAATAATTTTACTTTTCGTCTACAAATCTTACAGCTTCTACACATAAGGCTGTTCTGGCCCGGTGATGATCAAAATCATGTTTTTTAACTGTTCCACTAAAACTCTTACAGGTTAGAACTACACACAAGGGCATTCTGACCAGGTGATAGTAAAATTTTTTTTTTTTTTAATGTGTTTTTACTGTTCCTCTAAAATTCCCAAAGTAAAACAAATGACAACAGCTAGTGTATTAGGTATTTGTATTTTTTACTCTATGACTAGTAACATATATATACACATAGTTGTAACCAATATGTTATACACACATAAATCTATATACATTGTAGGTGGATACTCTAATGAATAGTCCTCCTGAAACACGGAATCAAAGTTTACTACCCAGAGCACCTGTTTTCTATATATTCTTTTAAATATTTAGTGGGAATGTCCAACTCCTTTCAAGAGTTAAATCTAAAGTACGTCCCACATACTATAGTAGTAAATAATACTGACGAAAATAAATCATAAACATCAGGAGTTGGGATGTTTTTCCAGTCTATATTATATTTGCTGTATAGTACTTTCATACCTAAAACTTTCCCCCAGTCAAGTACTCACCCTTCACAGGTCTAATCTATATTTGCTGAACAATAGTTTTAGCATTCTCATACTTTATATATTATGTGGTGTACTAATATTCGCTGCAATGAGAAATTTGGCTTCATGACGAAGGGCAAAACAGGCAAAAGTTAAAATAAAAATATACAACATTTGATATAGCGGTGAGAATTTCCCGGTTATCAGTATTTCTGATACAGTTAGAAACGATTACTGACTATGTCTAAAATATTCATGTCAGCATCAAAACCTCAAAAATGCATAATGTAGCTCAAAGATATAAACACAGTACATCTGTGATCATTATATCTGTCATATATTATAAACTTTCTGAAGTCTTAAATAGCAGTCCAAAGTTAATCTATGTTTATCAGTTTTGTAGATATAATATCTTTTTTTCAAAATTTGGGTAACATATTGAATTTTAAATCAGATATACTGCAGGTAGTTTATTAGTTTTCACACTTTCATGACTTTAATCCTTGTTGAAACCGCTATACATTTTTGTACATACTGTCTCTACAGTGACATTCAAAGTTTAGAATGAAAGGAAATATTGCACTTATGTCTTCAGTCATGATTGCCGACCAGATTACCCCTTTATTCACATTCTTGTCATGTGCCAAGTTGATATCAAGTTGTGATATTTGATATTGACAAGTCAAAAATTGACGTCAATCTGTTGGTGACAAATATCAATTAATGCAAAAATATTCAATATTCAATCATAATAATCTTCCCTAGATTGCTCCATATTATCTCTGATTTCTTTCATCAACTTTAAATTCCTCCTATTAAAATAGTTCAGAATTAATGTAGCATTAATTATCATTCTTTTGAATTTGTTAAGAAACAAAATTCAATGAGATTATAAGAACAAGACATGTGTATTCTAGTATGTAAAACACATCTTTTACTAAACTTTCATTAAATAGTGTTGGAAACTTAATCGGAATAATTTCAAAACTTGAAAATAATGAGCTACACAAAAGATATCTTTACAATTTTCTACTTCAGTCTATACACAAGACGAACAGCATAATCAACAGTTCAGTCTCAATCAACAAGATAAACATAAACTTATTTACTAGGGTGCCACAATATATCTGAAAACAGGTATATCGCAATACACAGGCATATCGTATCGTACCACAATACAGAGATGAAATATTGCTGTATCGCGATATTTTTCAAAAGCATATTTTTATGTATCTCATTCTGCTTGGTGTTTTAACTTTGCAAATTACTACAAATTCTAACAGATATGCCAATAAGCACAAAACAGGCTTCTAATAGTTCAAATTTTGTAATCAATGGTTGGTTTGACAAAACTCTTAAATCTATGTAATCCATACTATTGATGATTAAGTTTGATAACATCCTGACAACAACTTATTATAAAATTGAGCACATCCTTCCTATGACAATGTATCGTGATACACTATTGGCGTATTGTTACATCCCTATTATTTCCACACACTTTCATTAGAATTGTACTGCAGTTTGATAATATTTAAGCATGTTTAGTACCGGCTCTATGAAAGTAAAAACTAAATGCTTTATTGAAAGGTGGCGGCAGTTATTCTACTACTGTCATATAAAGGTGGAATGTGTCATCAAAATTAGTCCATTAACAAAATAAACTCAGATTGTCAAATATTACCCATTCAACTTCTTAGCACCATCACAATCTAGGCATGGCACAAAGTTTTCAGATATTACCCATTCCACTCGCTAGCACCATCACAATCTAGGCATGGCACAAAGTTCTCAGATATTACCCATTCCACTCGTTAGCACCGTCACAATCTAGGCATGGCACAAAGTTCTCAGATAATTCCTCTTTGGCCAGCACGGGTCAATGTTTGATGTTTTGACCTTCTCGACCTCTAGGGGTTCTGTGATATGTTCCTGATTTTGGATTGAGAGAAATCACTCCTGATAGCCAGGCGAGTTCTAGGGGAGGCTTCCCATCTCAATCAGACCTTAGACTGCAAAAGTTAGCATCATCCCCAGGAAGGCTGACATCACATTGAACAAGAAAGTCAGCGAAAGTATGGATTCCAGCTCCTACAACAAGACCGAGATCAGTAACATGGTATTTTATTGACAGTTTTTTAAATTCTCGATAAAGACATGTACATGTACAATACATGTAAAGCTTAATAAGCTTGTTTAGTAATACAGTAGTTAGAAGATCAGAAAGTCAGCAAAAGTGGCATTGAAATATTTAAACAAGTTTTTGTGATAGGATTCAAAGCAGAAGTAATATAACTCATATACAGGTTCCAAATAATCTCAGCTGAACTAAAACAATAAATTAAACAGAAAAAATTATGAGACAATTGTTTAAAAATATGATTTGAAAACTCTGTTAAGTACATACTTATTTATCAACTCCAAGACCATATACATGAGGGTTACCGGTATTGCCAGAGTTGTTACCTGAGAACTGATTTTACTTATTTGTTCAAAACAATTAGAACATCATAACACCCTTGGATGTATAACTATATCTCTGGTATTGAACACCTTAATTGTCTGTTACATATGTACAATCCATGTTGTCACTAACCTGTTAGTTATGTTCATTTTCCAGAATTTTCTGTTTCTTGCGATTCATCATATATTGCAAATTGCAAACCTCCACTGGTCTTAGATGTAGTGGACTGGGCGGTTGTATCTAAATATTACCCAATTAGCATGAATCAATACAGTGAAACCAGTGGCACTACATGTAATAGGTTTTCCATCTGTTCCTCATCAATACTAAGCAATCAATGCTGTTCCTTCTGGATAAAATGTATTAAACAATGATAATAAAATCATATGTATTTATTATAACTCCCAAAAGCAGACGGCATTCATAGCAAGATGGCCTTCATACCAACTATGAGTGTGATGGCTGTATTGCTGAGGTCAGTTCTACTATAGATATCAGTTATCATTTCCCTTCCTGAATATAACTTTATGTTTGCAGCAGTGATAGGAAATTGGTTTCAAATCATAATCAGTTTATAATTTTATGGGACTGAATATCAACATGAAGTGAGGACACTACCTTTACATTGATAGCCAGAGTTGTTAACTTAGTACACTAGGTTTCGTTCTTTTATAATGAATGGATATCAAGCAACTTTTATGCATTTATATCAATATTAGTATAAATCATAAGAATATATGACTTTCAAAGCATACCTTACACTTTTATCGATTATGGAACTTGTAATCGATAATCGGATTTGGAAAGGGCAAACTGATGAATTTTGAATCGTAATCAAACATCAGCCCATCACTAGTTTGCAGGATCAGAAATCATTTTAATTTTAAGAGGTATGATGAAATTGCTATTTCTTAATCAAATGGTTCCCCTATGACATATAACCAGGCCATTCATTGGATTACCTAATTGTGAACATCCACAATTACCTGTCACACTTGAGATAACCAGTTACCAGTAGTATTTCTATAGAAGATTTGTTTTCACTTAAAATCTAAATGAACAAAGCTATAGAAGATTTGTTTTCACTTAAAATCTAAATGAACAAAGCTATAGAAGATTTGTTTTCACTTAAAATCTAAATGAACAAAGCTAATCTATAACACTTCATTTATAGTCAAACATCTAGTATATCTATCAAAACACAGATGCAGTCACATGTTGTTGAGGAATTTAAAACTACATAAATACAGTTAAATATATTTCAACCACCCTACCCATTCCAAAGTGGTGTTTTGGTTCCATAAAAAAACATTTCATGGTCCAAGAAACTGACATAACAGGATCCTATCCTTTTTTTCACATCCCTTAATATACTAAACCCTGCTCTATAAAGCCCTTACCTATTGACCCCTGACCTGCAGTGGTATCAGTCCGATGTGTCAGCTCCAGGTTGTCACACCAGCCAAGGTGCCTCTCTATGTCGAGGGATGCATTGAATAAACCCTGTACTAGCTGCATGGTCTCGCGTGTGTTCACAGTGGGAGACGACACTGACGTCACACTCTACAACATTTCAAACAAGTCATTCTTTATTTGGGTGTGACAGAAAAATCACAATTCGATATCCAGTCTGCAGTTCTGTACAGGTCTGGATACTTAATAATTTGACCCAAAGGGTTGACTTTTTTGTTTCCTCCCTAAATCGGGGAATTATCTTATTTATATACAAAACTTACTTTTCCGACAAAAATGTAATGAGGGCAATTTCTAATGCAGGAATTTTGAGAAAAAGAAGCTGGTGATGTTTAATAGAAAAGCATTGTTTATTGTATTTTAGACACCTACTCTTACAATAAGTATAAAACATAAGATAACATTATGAAATAAGCTGGACCCAGCACTACCCACCTGTCTGATACTGCTAGGTGAAGGTTGGCCATCTGACATTGATGGTAAGGTGGGAGAATTACCCAAGTTTTTCGTTTTATCTGCTATGGAATTTGTGTCTCCAAATACAAGGTGTTTCATAGCTCCGATATCCCTGTTAACACAAACAGAACTATAGGCGAAAAGTTTCTGTAATCCCTGCTGATCTATATACAAGTTCTCTCTGAAAATATCAAGGGTGTTTAGTTTGGTTGTCCTTTACGACCTATTCACAGCTATGGTCATTTAAGGAGGAGCCAGGTTTTGGTGGTGGAGGAAAACCAGATTACCCTGGGAAAAACCACTGACCTGTGGTCAGTACCTGGCAACTTCCCCACGTAGGACTCTAACCTGCCACCCCAAGGTGCAGGGCTAGTGATCATAGATGTGATACACGTTAACCACTTGGCCAACACGACCCAAAAAAAAAGAAACTGAATGCTAGATAGACACATGTATTCAACTACATATGATTGTGAATTAACTTGTAAGTTTGAAAAATAAAAAATGAATTACAACTTTTGAGAGACTAGTTGTGTGAATGAAACAACCGTTCTCTAAGAACCAAGAGAGCAAAAACTGGTGTGACTGTCAAGTGAATCAAAACCCAAAGTATTGTTTTTGATAATGTCTGATTTACAATGTGGTATATTGTTTTTGATATTGTCTGAATTACAATGTGGTATATTGTTTTTGATATTATCTGACTTACAATGTGGTATATTGTTTTTGATATTGACTGATTTACAATGTGGTATATTGTTTTCGATATTGTCTGATTTACAATGTGTTATATTGTTTTTGATATTGTCTGATTTTCAATGTGGTATATTGTTTTTGATATTGTCTGACTTACAATGTGGTATATTGTTTTTGCTATTGTCTGACTTACAATGTGGTATATTGTTTTTGATATTATCTGACTTACAATGTGGTATATTGTTTTTGATATTATCTGACTTACAATGTGGTATATTGTTTTTGATATTATCTGACTTACAATGTGGTATATTGTTTTTGATATTATCTGACTTACAATGTGGTATATTGTTTTTGATATTGTCTGATTTTCAATGTGGTATATTGTTTTTGATATTGTCTGACATACAATGTGGTATATTGTTTTTGATATTATCTGACTTACAATGTGGTATATTGTTTTTGATATTATCTGACTTACAATGTGGTATATTGTTTTTGATATTATCTGACTTACAATGTGGTATATTGTTTTTGCTATTGTCTGACTTACAATGTGGTATATTGTTTTTGCTATTGTCTGACTTACAATGTGGTATATTGTTTTTGATATTGACTGATTTACAATGTGGTATATTGTTTTTGATATTGACTGATTTACAATGTGGTATATTGTTTTCGATATTGTCTGATTTACAATGTGTTATATTGTTTTTGATATTGTCTGATTTTCAATGTGGTATATTGTTTTTGATATTGACTGATTTACAATGTGGTATATTGTTTTTGATATTATCTGACTTACAATGTGGTATATTGTTTTTGATATTATCTGACTTACAATGTGGTATATTGTTTTTGATATTATCTGACTTACAATGTGGTATATTGTTTTTGCTATTGTCTGACTTACAATGTGGTATATTGTTTTTGCTATTGTCTGACTTACAATGTGGTATATTGTTTTTGATATTGACTGATTTACAATGTGGTATATTGTTTTCGATATTGTCTGATTTACAATGTGTTATATTGTTTTTGATATTGTCTGATTTACAATGTGGTATATTGTTTTTGAAATTGCATTTTGTAATGTTTTCGATATACATTATTATGTCCTTGCACCTGATTTTATGGCAAGAGAGCTAAAGAAAATATAGGTCACAAGAGACAATGATATAGAACTACTCCAGATGTTTCAACATGTGACAGACTGCTGGACTTAATGAGCTAAGCATAAACTCTATAAATCATGGACAGACCGACATGAACTGTTTCAGGGAGCACATAAAAACTTAAAATACTAGTTAGCTGACATGAATGATGAATACTGCAAGTGAAAAGAATGATGGTTGTATAAATGTCTGACACTACCAACTAATGAGCAGGTCGGATACTATTATAGACAACATAATTTGTTGTTTTATGGTCAGAGATTGACATTTCTTACCTCGTCCTCACCGCAGATATTGGCTGTTCATTGGATTGACTTAATAATCCCCTGGACGCAAGCCCAGTGTGGTCAGTTAATGAACTGGAAATGCCCCTGGCTGCTGGTACAGTGTGGTCAGTGGACGAACTAGATAGTCCTTTTGACGCAAGCCCCTGCAGGTGGTCAGTTGATGAACTAGACAGGCTTCTGGCGGCCAACCCAGTGTGGTCAATGGATGAAGTAGATAGGCCCCTGGATACCAGCCCCTGGTGGTCAGTTGATGAACTAGATAGGCCCTTGGATACCTGTCCCTGGTTGGTAGTGGAGCTGCTGAAGTTGAGCTGGAGAGACATTCTCTGTTGTATATCATGTTCCAACATCTCTTGTTGTCGTTGAAGTTGTGTCTGTCTGTGAATCAGACAAACATAATTGAAATGCCAAATGCCCTACAGCCAAACAATATTATATGGGACATCAAACTGTTACCACCATATGTCTAATCAAATATACATAGCTGGATAAAGCTGGGAATTGACGGGCAAACCGTTTCCACACACAGACAACTTTGTTGTGAGGGGTATAAATATAACAATACAGAATCACAGTACTCTGTAAAAAATACATGTCACTACATACTATTTACTATTGTGCCTAATTTAGAAACAAAGTTATCTGTAGTATTTAAACTTAGGTATATGTTGTTTTGCATCCATTTAGCTAATTTGCTTATGTCAGAGACAAAAATTGACACACATTTTTTTTTGCGATGGAGACAAAATTAGGGAGGGGGCTTAATTGCAGGCACCCACCCTGTTCCCAGGACATTTACCAAAGTGGGGAGGGGGTTTATTTGCGAGAGGGGGATTATTTGTGGTAAACTACGGTAGTTCCCACTTCAAATATGTAGGGACCCATTAGTAATGAATTCATATTGAAATACCTCTCTGTGTTAAACTGTGCTTGCTGTATCTGCATCTGTTGGTGACATTGTTGAACCATGGCCTCGTGTTCTTGGCAAAGAGCTATCTGCTCCTGTCTTATCCTCTCTGCCTCTTCTCTCAGAATGTCACGACTTCTCTGCATCTCTTCTCTGTATTCTGTAAAACATTAACTCATCTTATCTCTGTATTCTATAAACATCAACACAACATATCTCTTTTCTATAAATATCTACACGCCATCTCTTCTTTTTATTCTATAAACATCAACACAACATATCTCTTTTCTATAAACATCTACACGCCATCTCTTCTTTTTTTTCTATAAACATTAACACATCTGTTTTTTGTGTGTGTGTAAAACACAAACATAACAAATTCTTTGTAAAATATCAACACAACATGAAACAAAGGGTGGGATTCAATTACATTTTTTACAACACACTGAAGGAAAGGGCTTTTATAGACATTGCCTGTTGAACAATTCCTTTTGTATGTAAGACATGTAAAACAAGAGGCCTTCATAGCTCACGTGGTATTTTATTTTTCAATTTAAATTCTGCCGAGTACCATACAGGTTTATCAAAGGAGTACAAGAAACAAAGTTGCAAGAAGAACTACATATAAATCTGTTTTGGTGGGAAAGACACCAAGAAAATGAGTTTCCATGCTATGTCCCAACTTTCCTCTATTTCCCCTATTGGGCCTCACATGTACCTTTTTATACAAATTAAACAAAATCAAGTTTTTTTCCCCTAAGCATGCTTTGGTTTTAATCCCTTCAATTGTACAGAAGGAAAAATATTTTCCCTATTTCCCCTATTGGGCCCCGCTCCTCTGCCCCTGGAGAGGGCGGGGCACATCTTCCATTTATAAATATCAAATTCCCTTTGCCCAAAGATTCTCTAGAACAAGTTTGGTTAAAATCCCTTCAACAGTACAGAAGGAGAAGGATCTTAAATGTTTTCCTCTATTTCCCCTAATGGGCCCCATACATCTGCCACAAAGAAGGGGGCCCACACACCTCAGTTTATACAAAATTGATTCTTTTGTCCCTAAGCATGCTTCAGTCTGCATTTGGTTTAAATCCCTTCACTTGTATAGTAGGAGAATACCCTATGTTTATACAAACTTGAGGCTCCTTTGTCCAAAGATGCTCTAGGACAAATTTGCTCAAAATCCTTCTATTGGTTGAGAAGAAGAAGATTTTTAAAGATTTACCTATTTTCCCCCTATTTGGCCCCTCCCCTCTGCCCCCAGGGGGGTTATACCCTCCGTTTATACAAAACTGAGAACCCTTTGATCAATGATGCTTCAGACCAAATTTGGTCAAAATCCTCTGAGCCGTTAAGGACTAGCGTTTTAAAGGAAAAAGTTGACAGACGCCGGACGACGCACCATGGCATAAGCTCACTTGGCCCTTCGGGCCAGGTGAGCCAATAAAATAATCTGAAATCTGGAAAACAACCACCAAAGTATTGTGATGATCTACCTGTCATTTGTTTTTCCTGCTCTTCCCGCCTCTGCTTTTCCCCCTCCTGTTTACGTCGAGCCCTCCAACGTGCGGCACGTAGCTCCTCAAACGAGTACTCCTCTGTGCCACACTGAATCTTGTCCTTACAGTACATTAGCCTATGAGTACAGTCTTCTGTCTGACGTATATGTTGGAGAGGGTCCACATACTTATCTGGCTTACGTGCACTGTAACACAGATATCGCGGTTTATAGCATTTCTAAGTAGTACAAAATTTCTCGAACATCAAAGTATTTTTAATAAATCCAAAAACTCTAAGAAAGTCATTTCGTCATGGGGATAACAGCATTTCTCGCTTATAAGTCACAACCACTTCTTGAATATCTGATCTTATACTTATCAAAGCATTTCCTTGGGATCACAAACAATTTTCGTTGGAAGTCAGAAACTTTCCTAGAATGTTAAATTGGTCAAAATGTTCTGAAGGATCTAAGCATTATTCATGGATGCAGGGTCACAGCTTTTCTGATAGATTTCAATGGTTATCAGGAGTATTTCTGAGTGTCGCAGTTTCATTGATGCATCACTATATTTCTCAGAAATCCAAGCTTTTCTGATCTATCCGATGTTTCTTGGGGATCAAAGCTTTTCTTACGGTTCAGACTGCTTTTTAGGAGTCACACCATTTCTGAAGGTGTAGCAGCATTTCTTATTGGTCAGTAACTTATAGGTGACAATAGTGGTCATTGTATTCCTAAGAGGTTAGAGTTTCTCAGGGGTAAAACCATTAATTGTCTGACAGTATTATTGAAAACTTCTATATAGTGTGCTGTATTTAGTGTTGGGAATCGGTTGAAATGTTATGATGGATCGTTGGTTAAAATTAACTAACCAAGATAGATTTTTACAGTTAATCATTGTTTCAAAGAAAAACATTGTTACATTTCAGTTATATGGTAATTTCATTAAAGTAACGTCCAAAAGACATTTTGAAATAATTAATAATGAAGTAGAGAAAATAAATGCATAAGGTCCATTTACCTGAGGACTGGATTTCCCACTTCCAATGTTTTTCTTGGAGTTCTGCAAAATAAAGTAATGCAGAAGTTAGTCATAGATTTCTTTATCACCAATATTTAACCTGTACTGTATAACACAATGCTTTATGCTCCTGTACATACACATACAATATATAAACGAAAGTGTGCCCTTTAAATGATTTTTAAGTGAATTTGGGTGCATGTTGGTGCATGTGGTAACTAAGGCCAAAAAAATTTGATCACTTGGTTCTCAGGCCTGTGCACATTTTATTTTCTAGGGCACCGCATTGCCGATTTTATCGTGAAAGTAATAAAAAAAAATGTGAATGCGTCAGCCGCCGTCTTTATAAAAATCCGGAAAAATGGTACGCATGTCGTTTTTACTCTTTAGTCACCCAAGTCCCGAACACGTTTGAATAAAGATAAGGATTGACATACAGGCAAGCGTTAAATTGATTATGACTTATTAGTCTTGTGTACAAATGGCGCTCATTTCGGTACAAATAAGGAATGGGGGGGTGGGTCATGATTCTTGTCTGGAACATCGTGGGAGGATTTTCGGAGGCTTGCTCTATGACGGGTCTCTACAAAACTATAAAAAGACAAGGTAATGCCCAGAATGAACGTTTTACAAACTACATAATAAAAAAAATCACCCTCGTCACGTTTTTGCCAGGTAAAATGAAAAAGAAAATACCGCCCTGCAGCATCTCTTTTGAAAAAAATTGGCCCGAAAAGTAATTAATTTTATTTGGCCTAATGGTGTGGAAGGTTGTCATACATGTAAAATAAGGCACAGCAAAGTGTGGTATCATCCCATCACCCTAAAGTTCAAAGGACAGCTGAAGAAAATATTCTGAAATGTTAAAGTTGGTAGTTTTGTCTAGCTGTTTTCATATTAGCAGGAAAGATATTGAGTATAAAATAGCAAAAGGCATAACCAGGGCACCGATCATGATATGTGGACCATGTTTCGTAATGATATGTAAAAGTGTTTTCAAGTAATTCCCAAGAAAATGTAGGAACATTGGAGTTTTGTTTATTTAGATACAGGTAGTTATGACCATGTTAAGCAGAAAACTTTGAAAATGAAAAATTCTTAAATAGCCAAAAAGACAATTACAGCACTAGCCCAGTAAGTATGCATAGTTTCATGCACAGACTTTAATGCCTGTACAGACAGTGCTGAATTTGATATCTTCTGAAAACATGTTTTGCAGGAGATATCAACAATATACTAAACACAAGAGTACCGCGGGGCGGAACAATATACGCTCGTTGAATGCCATATAGTGTTATATACTTTCTTACATTGAAATAAGATTTGCATCATTCTAAGAGTGGTTAGCTGACTTGCCATAAAAAAGGTAGGAGAAAATCTCCGGACAAAAAATAAAATACTGAAATGAACAAAGGGCAATAACTTTTGTAAAAATTGTTGAATCAAAATTCTTTTAAAGGGAGACACAACTTCATATCATGATTATAATGTATACCAAGTTTCAAAGAGATCCATTCAAAAATGTAGGAGGAGATTGCTGGACAAAAATCAAATACTGAAATAAACAAAGGGCAATAACTTTTGCAAAAATTGTTGAATGCAAATTCTTTTCAAAGAAACACAAAAACATATCATGATTATTTAGCCTACTAAGTTTCAAAGAAATCCGTCAAAAGATGAAGGAGGAGATATCCGGACAAAAAATCAAATCCTGAAATGAACAAAGGGCAATAACTTTTGGAAAAATAATTGAATCAAAATTCTCTTAAGGGAGACACAACTTAATATCATGATTATAATGTATACCAAGTTTCAAAGTTTCAAAGAGATCGGTTGAAAAATATAGGAGGAGATTGCTGGACAAAAAAAAGTTTACGCCAGATGGCTGAACCCATACCATAATACTACTGTCAAAATTTGACGGGCGTATAATTAGTAAAACAGACTTTTTTTTTACAGTAGAATAAACACAGATCTGACATCGTCATATCGGGGGTTCGAACTTACACCATGGACTGGTCTGCATCCTCCTCTACGTGAATGGTGAACGCCGGTGTGTTGGCTCCTACAGCACGGACAGGTACCACACCACCTTTATACCCTATCTGTACAACATACAAGTTGTTTTGATATTAATTTTTCAGGTTTTGAAAAACAAAAATCCACTCCTCAACTCTGTAGGGTGAGTTGGGTTTACGATAGAATCGGATAAATGAACTTGAGTAAAGTAGGCCCAACTTTTCAGGACGTTATGTTGTGAATTGATAAATATCATGTATGGGCAAACATAACGAAGAATTGCATCGTTATTAGCACTCTTGGGGGTTCAGCCCCTTGAGAAGTGTTACCTCTGATTCTCATCATTACTTTAGAATGATTTCTTGTTTTTTCTAAAGTCACTATTAACTTAGGAGAAAATGTTGTTGAAAGTTTTTGCACCCTCTATAATCCCAAATGGGAGTTTACCTCCTTTAGTATAGATTCTAATTTTCATAATCTTAGGATCATTATATGAAATGTTGGTCAATATCCACCAGTATGTTTCAGAGTAGATAAAAATTGAAAGGCTTTCACTCGATGATCCTTTATGGACCCACACACGCAGTCCAGCCCCGGGGGTGGGGGGGTCAGTCTCTGTATGAGTAAACTCTCACGCCTACCATCAACTTTCGATTATCACCAATTTCATCAATATAATTGATTTTGGACAGTGCACAAAGCATAACAGATGAGCATAAATGGCATTCACTGTAGGTCATCTGGGTCACGCAACTCATATCCAAACATACATCTATAGCTTTTGAAACTTTGACATATATTTAACATATGACATGAATATTCTGTTATAATTAATTAGTCTGTATCGTTATGTTGTATTTGTGTACATACCTTCTGTTTGGTCCAGACCCCAGCTTTTTTTGTATTTTCTTTGTGGAGTACAGACTGAGTCGGCATCTCTGACCAGTCTCCAACCTCAGCAGGCAGACTTGGGTTAGCATTCTCATCGTTAAATACTGTGAAAGCCTGGCCTTGCACCTGTGGTGGTGCTAATCCCAACATTTTGAGTCCACCTCTTGATGCTGAAATTCAACCATTATATATGCTAATAACCCTCACATACCAAACAAGAGATCCCAGATGGATGTTGGCGCCCACCTTTGTACCATCTTCATTAGTTCTTTGTCAGTTTGATCTTTTCTCTTCTTTCCTCTAATCTGTTTGATCGAGTCATGTTAACAGTAAATGCATCTTGAGGTAACTTTTGATCTAAACTTAATACTGATGTTTATGAAAGCCAACCTTCAAAGTGAGTTTGTCATTTCACATATTTACTAGTACAGTACTTAATGTAAAAGAAATAGAATCAATCATTGCAAAATGAGAAAGATCTTTTTAGTTCTTCTTTCAATCCATTTTGTTTTTATGACCAGTCTCAAAATATAACATGCACAACGAGGGCTCAAGGGGAACCTACATTTAAAATTTGAGAAAGATCCCTCCTGTTCTTCCCGAGAAATAGTGATAACAAACTTTCCCTATCAAAATCCAAGATGGCTGACTGTCGGCCATGTTGTTTATCCGATCAGTCTCAAAAATAGCCCTGCACAGCTATGGACAAAGGGGAACCTACATATAAAATTTGAGAAAGATCCCTCTAGTGCTTCTTGAGAAATAGCGTTAACAAACTTTCAATATCAAAATCCAAGATGTCTGCCTGTCGGCCATGTTGTTTATCCGATCAGTCTCAAAATATGCCCTGCACAGCTAAGGACTAAGTGGAGCCTACATGTAAAATTTGATAAAGATTCCAATCTGGTGCTTCTTGAGAAATAGCGATAAACTTTCAATATCAAAATCCAAGATGGCTGCCTGTCGGCCATGTTGTTTATCCGATCAGTCTCAAACATAGCCCTGCACAGCTATGGACAAAGGGGAACCTACATATAAAATTTGGGAAAGATCCCTCAGGTGCTTCTTGAGAAATAGCGTTAACAAACTTTCAATATCAAAATCCAAGAAGGCTGCCTGTCGGCCATGTTGTTTATCTGATCAGTCTCAAAAAATGCCCTGCACAGCTAAGGACCAAGGGGAACCTACATTTAAAATTTGAGAAAGATCCCTCTAGTGCTTCTTGAGAAATAGCGATAACAAATTTTCAATATCAAAATCCAAGATGGCTGCCAGTCGGCCATGTTGTTTATCCGACCAGTCTCAAAAGCTGCCATGCACAGCTATGGACTAAGGGGAACCTACATATATAATTTGAGAAAGATCACTCTGGTGCTTCTTGAGAAATAATGATAACAAACTTTCAATATCAAAATCCAAGATGGCTGCCTGTCGGCCGTGTTATTTATCCGATCAGTCTCAAAAGCTGCCATGCACAGCTATGGACTAAGGGGAACCTACATATAAAATTTGAGAAAGATCCCTCTGGTGCTTCTTGAGAAATAATGATAACAAACTTTCAATATCAAAATCCAAGATGGCTGCCTGTTGGCCGTGTTGTTTATCCGATCATTCTCAAAAGTTGCCCAGTACAGCTAAGGACCAAGGGGAACCTACATATAAAATTTGAGAAAGATCCCTCTGGTACTTCTTGAGAAATACCGATAACAAGAATTGTTTAAGGACGGACCACGGATGGACCACGGATGGACCACGGACACAGGGTGATTTGAATAGCCCACCATCAGATGATGGTGGGCTAAAAACACACAGGCCGTCACCAAACAGAGCTAACAAAAACTACTATATAAGATCTGTTCAACTGTTGATTAGTTGGGGGAACAGTGGATAGCACCTTTCGCCTGGACAGCAAGGGTTTTATTCTATGATCACACATGAAAAGGTATAAATTCATCAGTCGAACCACATAGATTTCCTATGGGTACTCCAATTTCCTCCCACATTAAGATTGTAAAATAAAGTTTAATCTTAAAATTAAATGCAATGAATCCATCAATAGAGACTTATCTCTTCTGAAAGTCAGAAACAGATAGCTACTACATACTATCATCTAGAACCAGATCACACGTCTACAAATACACTTGTATTATGAAAGTTGCTAGGTGATGTACAGTCTATAATTTCACATGCTTACTTACCCATCTTAGCATGTCCAGTGCGTTGTACAGGAGCCTTTTTCTTTTGTCCGTGCGGCCGAAGATGTCCGAGGACTGCCCTCTGGTCCTCTGCCTGTCCAGCAGGTTCTGTTTCTGCAGTCCCTATCATACCTTCTCGCATCATCCTCATCTGGAACTCTCTACAAACAATTAGTGACCATTGAGTTGTGCAACACTGAAAATGTTTATCATTTCAATCCAGTAATGGCGTAAAAGCCTCCTAATGGCTGTTTATACATTAATATTTCCATTTGTTCTGCATTGCAACTATATAACCTTACCAAACTTGCATTACAACTATGTAACCTTATAATTACCCAACTTGCATTGCCACTATATAACCTTACCAAACAAAATAGAAAGATATCAGATCATAATTCTCACACAATTCCCATTGGTGTAGTGATATAAAGAACATGTTCGTGACGTCGTTTTGACCGACGTCAATATAATAAGTGTAAAATTGTTGTCTGCCAGGAAATGGCACGCTTGCAAACAACACACCAATGCAAATAAATCTTCGTTCCACAAACACAGTAACTCCCAGATTCTTCACAAATGCAACATTTTCCAGCTGCACTTTCAATTTCAATGGCTAAATTCACCTTTCGTCTCCAGGCCAAATCACCACATCAATAAATATACACATTCCTCGTGGTAACCCATCCGTGCTACCGCATTAAAAACCCAATTCAACAATGTGACTTGCAACAATTTATGTAGTTATGTTGTATAAAGGGTGAATATCCTTTAATACGGTTGAATATATAGATTAAATTGTTGAAATCAAATTGATGATTTTGTGTTTATTTCCACAAACTTTCAATGAACAGGTCAAAAGTTTTTGTTTCACTGTATAAATATTAGACCCTCAATCACCTCAATAAAGTAGAACACTGACAGTGCATCAACCTTATTAGTTGTTCATGTGAAATTTTCCTGTAATGCAGTGGGCATTCATAGTGCCTATGAACCGCATCTGAAAGCAGCTGAATACTTATATTTCAATTTTCATGTCTTTCTGTCTTTAGAAAATAATAATATTGACATTAAAAAGTATCAAAAATCCCACCAAGATTCACTAGAATGAATGTGCATTTTCTTCTGACTTAAGTTTTCAAAGATAGTCTGTTGACGCAACAACTGTAAAACATATTTTTTATGAATTCAGACTAACTTTATGTAATATTTTCTATTGTTACACTCATAAAAAATATATTCAAATATAACAAAATTGTTATCAATATGATAAAAATAATTCGAGGTTCTTATATACTGCTTTATCACAACCTAGTTCGTAGGTCGTCTCAAAGCGGTTCACAATTATTATCCGTGGTTATAGGGCCTTTTGCAACCAGCCAATATCTTTCTCAACTCCATGTGGAGCATACAGCCGGTTCTGCCATTTCGGCGCTCACAGCTAGCATTCTACAATTCTAGCACTACCCAACCACGTACTCATTTACAGCTGAGTAGACTGGAACAAGCAGAGTAAAGTATCTTGCTCAAAGATACAACACAGTGCCGTTACGCGAGTCGAACTCGATAATGATAATCGACATTGTTTGTTAATGACATCACACCACAGAGGCATGTCTGTTAAATTCGAAAATTTAATAATAATGTTGGTTGCCATGGAAACTATATGTCCACATTTATGCTATTTGTAAATGATATTTACCCAAGTATATTATGTAAAGAATTATATTGTTTAAGTTTTATATGTAAACATGCAAGACTTCGTAACTCAGTAGTCTGTTCCAGCATATTTGGCAGTTCAACCTAGAAAATTTGTATTTTTGACAAGCTTTATGAGCTAGTTCAGTAGAAAGTTTATTACTTATGTCTACGCTCCAGGACATCGAGAGGTTGGGCCAGTCGTCGGATTCCCTCCTGGAAGATGAGGTCCGACTTCTTACTATTGCCCATCTGCTCATTTGTCCATGCCCAGGCCAGGTAGAAGGAGGCCAGGTCCACCCCTATAGCCTGGTCCTTCATAAAGTTATAAATTTCCAATGGTTCCTTACAGAAATCAGCCTAGGGACAAAAAACAAAGAATTACAGATTAATAAAACCCCTGCATTTTGCAAGCATATAATTTCATAGAAACAAAAAGAGTGATTGATAAAAGAAAAAATTGTTTCGTAATAAACTAGAACTGAAAACAAAAGACAGACTGATATCTCCTGTCCTCATGCTTTTGTTTTTTCTCTCCTTAAATTTTGTTATCTTTTCTGAGATTTTCCCACATAAGGTTAATCAAAGTGATGCTTGACTGCCAGTTAGTCATACGAGCAAGTGTTTAAAACCTTTCACTGACATGGATGTTAGGGGGGAGAAGATTAAAATGATTTCAGAAAAAACCCACCCATAACACCAGTTTTAACTATGCAGAAGATTACCAATTTTGAAATTAGCTTTTACTAAAAGGTAATGTCCATTTAAGAAAGAATAATAAAGCGATCTAAAACATTTTTTTCTAGCTTAGAGTTATTTCCCTTTGCAGCATATTCATCTTTCATATTGATGCTGTGCTTTACTATACCTGAATAGCAACATTTACTAAGTGAAGGATAAGCAGTGCACATAGACCAATTTCAACTAAAGAAATTATTCATTTTGTTCTTCCAATTACAATAACTCAAATTTATAACAACAGTATTTCTAGAGAAACTTGTTGATGTGTGTTGCCTTTGGTTTGGTTTGTTTGTGTCCTATAAACAGCTAAGGTCATTTAAGGACGTGCCATTTTTTTGGTGGTGGAGGAAAGCCGGACATCTCGGAGAAAAAACACAGACTTACGGCCACTACCTGGCAACTACCCCACTGAGGTCTCGAACCTGTGACAGTGGTAGTAGAATGTCAGACGCCTTAACCACTTGGCCACCGCCTCCTGGGATGTGTTGACTGCCCCAGCTGATTTGGAATGATGGCTGGTAGACAGGCACTCATGATTCATTATTTTTCTTATTGTTCATTGGAATCAGCTTAATCATGACGTTATAAATAATGCAACGAAAGATTTCACCGCCAATTTTACGACTTTTTTATTTGTTACATGGACCGAACTTGCCACAGTATCATTAGCTGAAACTGTCCGGGCCCATATTGATATTTCAATAAATTCTTATCGTACAGCAATATGGTTGCGAGTGCTTGGCTTTGCTTTTATGTATATCATTTGAAGCTGTCAGTGTGTTACACGTTTGACCGTAAAAAAATAGCGATTCCGTTTACAGAAAGTTTGCATAACTAGAAGCGAGATCATGATTTTCTTTCTACCCTCTCAAAAGTAATTTTCTCCTGTTAAGTAATTTTACATTACAGTTGTCCTTGCCATTTTTTCGTGTGAATGCCCAGCCAACTAAATTGCTAAGAACTTTGAAGTGTAAATATTAGCTCAAAAACATAAATATCAGGGGTGGCCGAACTTGCCCCGATCTCCTGAATGTATTTTTTTGTATCGTTGATGATTGGTTAAGCTTAAGTAGATATTTGTTCTTGTGCGTAATGTATATGACTGGTCATGTGGCGCAGTGGATATAGCACGCTTGTCTTCACCATGATGGTCAGATTCAATCCTGGTTACCTGCCCGACCACACAGGTTTTCTCTGGATACTCTGACTTCCTCCCACTTTGAGAACTAAATCCTCTCCGTCAGGTCACAAATAGATTGATTGAAATAAGGTGGGAAAAACTGTTTGGTAATTGCTATAGAAAACTAGAATTATGTCAGTGTGACATTAAAGCCGCTCACCACTTTAAATTTAGTTGCTTCAGTAACACGTCTAGCATCAATATCTACTATAATACCTCAGATATGTGTTTTGTATTCTGCTAATTGAAAATCAGGTCATGTGATGATGTTGCCTTTGGAATTTCCAAAATCAATCAAAAACATTCTCCCTCTCCTCTTTTTTCACCCTCTTTAAGTGTGACGCATTGTTGTAATTTTCATTAATTAGCATCCTCCGATGATGTGACATGAGCATTTACGTGCGTAATGGCGATCGGTGAATGGATAATAAAGAATAGGTAAATTTTGTGCTTGTGAAATGAAGGATAATTAACAGTAGTGGGAAAACATGCATGCAGAAAAGAGACATTATACTCCTTTCATTTTTATTTATTTTTATTCATATTAATAATAATTATTGATATATAGTGACTTTATTTACTGTCATTGAATATACAAAATCTCACAAATGTTCTTGGAATATATTTGAATTATATTTCTCAATGCTACTTTACCAACGTAAGAGTTATTTCCCTTACACCAGATTGGATAATATTTTGACACGGCGCGAATTCTTGTCAGACACCAGAGGCAGTTGCGTCATGTTCTTAAATTGTTACATTTTCATAAATAAATATACCAGAAAAAGCATGCTGTGTTACAGAAACGTTTGATAAGCATACAGGTTCACATATCATCTTGTCTCCGAGCCATAACCGTTATCAACCTAAGCACGATATGTCATATTACGTTCCCGTTTGAAACATCAAAATAAAGGTTATACTTCATCACTCATACAGTTTATAAGTATATATATTTACTTCTTCCTTCTACAGACAGCGTCAATGCTTGACAGTCTCCACATGTGCTTTCTCTAATCATATGTGTTTCACACGCGTAAACCTCCTCAGACCTCAATCCGAGTTGCTAAAACGCTCAAACCCAGTGCACGATCTTCACCACCACAACACTGGTAGAATGCACCGGAGATAAACATTTTGTTTTCAGCAATTATTTAAAGTATGGATTATTATTTGGAGAAGAGTATCTGAAGACTTTATGTAACCCACAGGTGAGTGTCAAGAGATTCTACTTTCTATTTACAATAACGAAACTATATAGCGGAAGCATGCAAGACTGAATTATGTGCACGCACTCCGAACGGAAGTGGGTCCGTCATTTCGTTCTCTGGACAGAATTAATAAGCCGCTCGGCTCTCGCCAAGAGCGGCTTAAAAAGTGCATATTACATATTTGACGATAAGTCTATAAAAGTAGATGTATAGAGATGTAAGTTAAAAAGATGTTTATGCATGGGTTGAAACAAAATTGTCTTTGCTTCGAGGATACACTTCCGGTTTCCCCAATGGACGTCTACTTCCGACGTAAAAAATTAAAGACAATGTGTAGCAAGGGGAAGCAACTCTGTTTATGCACGCATGTGTTACCATTACCCGAGAGCTATGCTCTTATAACTAACAACACATGTGTTAAATTTTCTTATAACTAAGGGAAGTAAGCCAGTAGTGTTCAATTTCTTCCAATTCAGTATGGAAATCTCCCCTTTCTTACATATTTGATCCATGCTGTGACAAACCGCAGGTCATTTTTGTAGCGAGGTTCATTGTAAAATGTCCGCAAGCATCTCTCTAGAAGATCTGCAAGATTGCACTCCTTTCCTCCTTTTGGGTAGTTTTGTTCTATCCATTGCATGTACCTTGTGAAGTGAACAGATTTTCAAATTAATCAAATCAATTCAAATATAACGTTTTCAAATTAATTAATTACCTCAGTGATTTCAAGGGCCTGATCATTAAAGCTTTTATTTCATTTTCAGCAATGTGGTCAACTTGTCAGATATTAAGTGATTTAATAAGAATCAAAGACTTTAATGAAGAGGAACATCTTTTGCAATATCTAGATCAAAACACAAACCTCATTTATAAGTATACTGTGTATTATAAGATAGTTTGGATGCCATCTTCACATCCAATTGTTTCATTCGAGACATATGCATCTTTCTTCCCCCTAGTTAAGAAATAAGCCATGACAAAATTGAAGGCTCTGTAAACATAGGCGCCACCTTTTTGATGATACAAGTAGTCTAGATTGATCCTTTGATGTACAGCTAACAAATTGCATGATAGCATAATGGTAAAACTGACCGGCTTTCAGGTCAGGTATCACTCTTATTTAACTATAATCTTTTAAGGACAGATATATATCAGCCAAGCAATTTGTCTTAGTATTTTCCCTGAAACCAATCAAATAGCTAAACATGCATCTTTCTTTTTCTGTCATGACATTGTCTAATTGTGTAGAGAAGAAATGTGTATCAAGAAGAGAACCCTTGGAGATTGAATATGTTTTTTTTTCTGTTTATGGAAAGTCTCAGTGTCTTTCTTTACAATACACGTCAGAGTAAATTATGCTAATTACCTGTGCCATACATCTAAAGGATCATCACTGCTGTATGTCCTCAACTCTGCTTCAAATTCTCTGTAAATAGAAATATTGCAAGTAGTACCATATAATAATGTAATATTTCAATACGTGTTTATAAAATCTTGCTAAAAAAAATAAAAGTTAACTAATCATTATAATATTATATATGTTTGTATGTGGAATGTACAACTCACTTTTTCTTGTCAAATTCTAATTAAATCATGTTATTTTTAAGGAACTTTGCAAGTGTTGCTTCACAAGTATAAATATACAGCACACATTTCACAGGTAGGAGGGGACAATTTCATAGTAGGAGTACTCAGCATTAGTCCACAATAAAATCACTGATTTACCCCTGCTTGTACATATGGACAGAGTCCGGGGCTTGTACATATGGACAGAGTCCGAGGCTTGTACACATGGACAGAGTCAGAGGCTTGTACACATGGACAGAGTCTGAGGCTTGTACACATGGACAGAGTCCGAGGCTTGTACATATGGACAGAGTCCGAGACTTGTACATATGAACAGAGTCCGAGGCTTGTACATATGGACAGAGTCCGAGGCTTGTACATATGGACACTTACCTGCATAAATAAAACCATGTATACATTAAACGATCAGTCAGTTTGTTTGCATATATAAATATAATTCAGGCCATGATGAAAAAACAAAATTAACTCCTGCATTCTTAATAATGTAAAAATACCTCTACAAAATTACCAAACTATCTTACTTAAGATACAGAAGCGTCTTGAAATCACATGTACAGTGTCCATATAGTTCCAAGCCCCTGTTTTGTGAGAGGAAGAGTATTAACACAGGGTAAAGGGATATTATCATTCATTTTCACATCTGGAGTTGATTATCAACAGATAGCTATGTACTCAGGTACATTTCATTTCCAACCAATACTAGAGGAATTGGACAACGGTGCATACATATACTGTATATATATAATATATACAAAGTAACATGCATATCATAATTGTTTACAATTGTTCATGTTAATTACATGATCAATGTCAGATTTTATTCTGACTATAGGAATGTTTACATTTCCTCTTCTGTCAACTCTATTATATAAATCACACCCACCATTTATACAAAATTGAGTCCCCTTGGCCCAAGGATGCTCCAGACTAAATTAGGATAAAATCACTTAATCAGTACGGTAATAGAAGGATTTTAAAGGTTTAACCTCTACTTACCCCAATGGGCCAGGCCCCTTTGCCCCTCCCACCATTTATACAAAATTGAGTCGCCTTGGCCCAAGGATGCTCCAGACCAAATTTAGTCAAAATCTACTTGGCCGTTCAGGACAAGTAGCGTTTTAAAGAAAAAGTTGACGGATGGATGCTGCAGTATCAGGTGAGCTAAAAAATGATTGGCTCATTGGGGCCAAATTGTCTACACTACAGTACGTATGAAGCACAGGGACCTGATAATTTGTTACAGCTATATTTGGACCTAAACTAAGATGTTCTTCCAATAATTGCCTCCATCAACAGGTTGATGCTTCTGCAATGTGCGACAATTTCACCTGTGACAGGACTGGCACATTTAAGATAAGTTTGTGGGTTCAGAGTAATTTTATATGTTTTAGGGGTTTAGATAAACTTTCAGTAAAAAGGACACCCCAATGATTATGCTCTTATATATAAGGTGACAGTACGGTTCCCAAATCGGATCACCATACCATCATTAATTTTATGAATTCATATCCACTGCACCACCTGACCATCATTTATGGTTGTAACAAAGGAAGAATATCAATGGCTGTTCAAACAAAAGAAATTAACACCTGCGGCTCATGTGAAAATCACTGAAATATTTTTAGCACACTCTTGACATCACCTATCAGTGGTTTCGGATTTTGTGAATATCAGTACCCAAATCGGATCAAGGCTTGAATTTTGCAGTATCTTCAAATGGATATTTTTTTGTCAGCAATTTAACATTTTATGATGACTTTTGGAAATTATATGAAAACTAGTATTTCTATGGGTGAATTTATTCCTAAAGCCCAAAACAGAATGCAAAGTCGTTGCATGCACAATTTTCTAAAAACGTAAACAAAACACCGACTTTTGAGTTTGAATATGCGTTTTCTGGTGCTATTTGAACTTAAAACTGATCAGCTGTAGACGAAAAATGGTGCATGGTTATCTTTTCTAAGGTTACTGTAATTTTACATCATTGTTATAACTGATCTGTTGACACATTTAATGATTTACAAGTATTTTTTTGCAAAAGTGATCCGATTTGTGTCCTGCCTCCTTTTAATTATACTTTAATCATTGGGATGTCTTTTACCGAAAGTCGATCTAAACCCCTCTTTATTTTAACTTCGAAGTAACAAACGCCCCCCTGTGATACAGCAGCTTTTTGTGCTTTGTTTTAAACGATGATTATGCAAGGGTAATATCAAAGCATCGTGATTAATTTTGGCGGACAACAGTATTTACAGGGGAAATCCTGAAATTTGAGAGCAGTGGGCCATTTTCAGCAATTTATAGTCAATATCAAAATTAAGAGGGCCATTCTATGCAAGATTAAAAGAAAATTGGAATATGGAGAGGTCAATGTCGGTATTGATGGGTCATAACCCCCTCCCGGAATATCCCTGTATTTATCGGGCTACTGTAGTGTACTGTTGTTAGCCGCCGTTTCTTGTCAACAGTTTTGAGGGTCCGGTTTTGAGCTCACTGTTTTTGCTGCCGTATATCAGTTTCTGGCTGTAAGGCAGCCATTAAACTTGAAAATTTTCTGCCTTGCCGAAGTGGTTGTACATTTTCCTTGCTCAGCTCCCAATCATCAGTTTCAGAAGCCATAATGAAAAATGCTAATGAAATTTCTTCCACAAAGCCTGCAGGATCTCCCCGAGTGTAAATAACTTTAAAATGTCCGCCTTGCGCATGCCTAGTGAATGACGATATTCTAATAATAAAGCCAGAGTGCATAGCGTTTCCGGAATCTTAAAATATACCACCGATTCAAGAAACTGTCAAACCACGGACTTAGATAATCTAATTCCGTGGTCAAAACAACCAAGATTTTAAAATACTTAAAATCCCATTTTGTTTTGCACGAAATAACGCACAAACACATCATAAATGGACGGAACTAGATTCTATCTAATCTAGTCATTGACAGTCGTTTATCACGATCGCAATTTTCCGAGAAGTACTTGAGAGCTCTTTCTCATTTATGTCGAATGCTAACTTAGGTTCCCTTTGTTACGCATTATAAGTACTTTAACTCTACTTGGTAAACACTTCTAATGACAACCTCACCTTGACAAAACAATATCATGAGGCATACACAGCAGTATGAAGTTTTTATAAAAAGTTTAAGTGTAGCCTGCCTTACAATGCAACAGGTAATTATGAAATAATAAGATAAGAGTTCTTAAGTACGATTGGCGTCAATATCCCACTGGGATATCTAAATTAGTTATTCGTTGTATAGTGTATATATACGAATACGATGGACACGACTACATATATATTATCACAGGTATTATTATATCCTTACATGAATAAACACTATGAGTAAAATATATTATGAGACTTACCAGACAGGGGCGGATCCAGGATTTCCTAAAAAGGGGTGGGGGGGGGGGCGAGAATTTTTTCTCAATAGTCAACGGTGTGCTGCCGAAGGCATCACCCTAAGCGCGTAGCGCTCGGAGGGGGAGGGTAGGGAAGGGGGTCTTCCCCCTCCCGTAAGGGGGGTTTGGGGGAACTCCCCCCCCCCCCAAAAAAAGGGTTTTCTAGAACGTCTTAGAAGCNAAAAAAGTGTTTTCTAGAACGTCTTAGAAGCGATTTCCCGTGTTCTGAGGATTGTTTCAGTCAAGTATGTGTGTTGCCTAGCTACATATTATGTGTATAGTCTGTATACACAAAAATGTCAATGCAATTTGAAAAATATTTCTTGATCAGATTAAAAAGTGGGGACCGGAAAAGTTAAGTCACTCGACACGTAGTATAATCTAGTTTCGCATATATGGAAACAATATTCGGTTTTAAAAACAAATTTTCATTCTAAAAATTGCCATTGTTGGCTCTGACCATTATTTTATTGGGGGG